TGTGGCTCCAGGCTCCTGCTTAGGCAGTAGGGATCTGAGTTTCTGGAAAACACTATTTTGCCTTTTGTTCCTCTGGAACCAGAGCTGCTCCCTCCAGATACTAGTCTGCAGGTGTCCTATTGCCCGTCTGCTTCCCCTTTCTGTTGCCCTTCCAACACCTCTGCAAAAAAAAAAAAAAAAAAAAAAAGGCACTTTATTAAATTCTGTTTAAAATACCTAAGATGGTGTGTTTTTCCTAACCAGACATTGACTAATATAGGTAGAATTATTTCCATTTTAACAGTTGAGAAAGCTGAAACTAAGAAGAGGAAGTGACTGAACCAAAGGCAAACCCAGCACCTCTCCTTCAACACCCTGCCTCACCCACCCTGGTCCTGTCACTGGAACACATTGGCTCATTTGAACCCCTGTATCTTCACATGCATTATCTCTGTGCAGGGCTTTCTTTAGTTCTTCAAATGTTCACCTTTCTCGTCAAATGTCCTCCTCTTTCAAAAGTGACCACTTGAAAGAGGGTTTCTCTGAAAACCCATTACATCACTCATTACATCAGCCTGCTTACCTTTTTCTTAGAGTGTATCACTCCTTGAAACTATTTACTGAGTTGTTTATTCCTCTGGACTGTAAAGCCTACAGGACCAGAAAGTGTTTGTCTTGTCAAATGCTATGTCTCTGGTTTTGAGACTGTCTACACCCCACAGTTGTTATAAGAAAGAATGATCAGAAAGTGTGGTAAAAGAAGTGGTAGGTTATTTTTGATTACATGCTAACACCTGCTCTTCCCACTGGCTGCTTCTCTCCCAGTTTAGTAGGCTCACCAGAAATTTCCAATGCATGAGGGCCCTCCCTGGTGGCGCAAGGGGTTAAAGCACAGCACTATGAAGCTACCCACACCCATTGCAGCAGATCCCAACCAGGGAGGTGACCCACATGGCGCTCCTCCCCTCAGCAGTATATTTGGGTCAATCTGCCTGTTCTGCTCCCTGTTCTGCTCTATTGTGAATCCTCTCATCCTCTGCACCTCTGGCCTATACCCCAGTTCTTGCATGCATAAATAAATATTTTTTTTTAAATAAAGACATGTCCACTGGAGACACAAGGATACCCAAGGAATTCTAATCTCCACTATCAGTTTGTACTGTCAGTAGGTACTCAGTGATTACATGCTGAGTAAATCAACTACCAAGAAACTTTCTCAATTTCCGTGCTCTGTGGTCAAGAGGTAATATTCTGAGGGGGGGGTGGGGGGGCAGCTAGCTCAGGTCTGCAGATTGGAAGCAGGAGTCTGCTGAACTCATTCTCAGAGGAACTCCCTTTGTTGATCACAAAGGGAAGTTCATGGCACCATTATCCAGGGAAGTGCAGCCATCAATACTGCCACCCCTTTTCTAGGGAGAGGTTGGGGTTTTGTGACTTGGCTGCCTTCCACCAACTGACAGACTATGGGCCAAGTTTATTCTTCAGTTTATTCCTCAGCAGGTCCCAAAGAATGGATGGAGGGACAATCTTTCAGTTGCCCTCAGCCCAAAGGGGTGAATACCCAGTTTCTCTGGCTTCTCCTACCCTTGGCTTTCTTTCTTCCTGGCTTTCTCGATTTCCCTTCCTACCCTTCAGCCACTGCCACCATACTGTATCTTTTTAGTTGAAGCGCTGGTGTTCAGGTTCCGTTGAGATTTGCCTCCCACAAATTGGCTGACTGTGGTTGTGGCTACTCCACTGTGAATTGTTAAAGATGGCTATGATCAAATGTCCACAGCCCAGAAGGCAAATCGCTTAACATCATGGGTATAGGACAATCAATTAAAATCTGTTAAGAGTGTCTGCCACTCTCCAGAAGGCTCCTGTGACAGAAAAAACTGGTTTGCATCCCAAGTTACATCTAGTCTCACCAGATGGCAGACAAAGGGCATGGCACAGCAGGAATTCATCTTAAGCATTTTAGCAGGAAACTTGGCTCCTTTGTCCCTTCTCTATGGGGTGAAATGTCTACTGTTTTGGTTCCTCTGTGGCCCTCATTTTGTTAGCCCTTGTTTTCCTCCACTGATATAACCTCTGCCATCAGCCTAGAATCCTGAGGTATGACTTCATTTGCATCCATAATTGGGAATTCCAGTTCTAGAAGAAACAAGGTTCAACTAAGGTCATTTATCTGAAACTTCTTGAGAACTCTGAGGAACAGGGAGACCAAACATCCCACCTCTTGGATTCCATCTATACCTCCTTCCAGAACCAGTAGCATTAGCAAGTTCGAGGCTAACATTAGGGAGACCATATTCCAGGCCTCTTAGGTAGAGACAATTCTATACCCTATTCTAGCCTGAAGCAGTTACAGAACATGAACTGCCTGTCTTCAACTCCCCCAAGTGATTTTGGGCTAGATATGGCCAGGGATGAGGAGTGGAACTGATAGAAATTTAAGAGAATAAAATTTAGAATGGAAATGTTCACAAGTGCAAAAACGAGAGATGGGGGTAGGTGTAGTTAATTAGTCATTAAACTGGCTATGGAAGTTTCTAGGAATCAGGGGTGGGTCAGCAAAGATTATCTGTCATTACAGAAAACCAATCCAACCTGACCCTCAAGCAATAAAATTCCACAAAGGAGTGAATCCCCACAAAGAACACTGGTGAGGATGCCCCTTGCTCTGGCAAAATACACATCTTGTTTTCAAGACCGCCTGCCTGTGTCTATGCAGGTATCTTTTTTCTTTCTCCTTCCTTTAAAATTTTTTTTTAAGATTTATTTATTTATGCATACAAGAACTAGAGTACATGTGGTGAGAGGAGTCACCAGAGACAGAGTGGGGAACAGAACAACAGGACTGACTAAAACACGCTGCTGAGGAGAGTAGCAGGCAGGACAAGAGAAGTCTGCTGTGCCATGTGGGTCACCTTGTTGGTCTGGGATCAAACTCTGCTGCCATGCCTACGGAGAATTTCATAGTGCTGTGCTTTAACTCTTTGCACCACCAGGGACGGCCTTTCTTTCTTTTTCCTTAATAAACTTTTTCAACTTGCTGTTGAAAATATTTTTATCTTTTTCTTAGGGTTGTTAACATAAAGTGAAATCATGTTAAACATTTAAACCTGAGCTTGCATGGCATAACTAACAGTTGTTGTATCAGCAGCCCTGAAAAAGTATGGATCTGTTCTAGAATCTTTAGAAATCCTCTTAGTCACCTTTCTGGTCCAGAGAAAACAGACCTACCCAAAGGTAGTGACAGGGATAAAAGGTCATTGCTCAGAGGTCTCTAACATGTGCATACATTGGCACTTGGAAGCAGGGTGGTATGACCCAATGGGAAAAGTAGATACTTTTAAGGAATCAAACAGATCCAAGGTCTTGAACCATCAAAGCAACTCTGGAGAAAAAGGCATTTTAGACAAAGTACAGACCATCTAGAGACCCAAAGTTCTTGGAATTTGCTAGCCTGGCAAGTTCCAAGCAAGAAAGCGAGGCAGGTGAAACTGGGAAGGTAGGCAATCTCCCAACTATGGAGAACTTCTAGGTTGTGCTAAGGAGTTTAAATTGCCTCCTGTGGGCCCTTCCTGGTGGTGCAACAGGTTAAAGCACAGCACTGCGAAGCTATCCACAGCTGCCTCCACACAAGTTCAAGCACTGTCCAGGGAGGTGACTCACATGACATGGAAGACGTCTCCTGTCTCACCTGCTGCTCCCCTCTGCAGTGTATTTTAGTGGAACTGCCTGTTCTGCTCCCCATTCTGTTTCTGGTGGATCCTCTCGCCGCCCCTGCATCTCTGGCCTGTACCCCAGTTCTGCATACATAAACAAATAAATCTTTAAAAATAAATAAATAAATGAATTGCCTCCTGTAGGTAATAAGGGCCTGTGGGAATACTGAAGTATTTTAAACTACCGGAGAATGTGAGCTGGAAAAAACTCTGAGGAATCAATGAGTTACTTCTACACCTACAAGCTCTCCTGCTCTGATTTGAGAGTGCCCATCTCAATCTTCAGGCTCATTACACCCAGTGCTTCTTCCCATCTCTGAAACTGAGACTTTGGGCATGAGCTACTTAAGTATTTATGAACCCAACTAGTATGTCTAGCAACGTCATTTGTGGAAAGCATATGTTGGACTAGAAATTTAAAAACTGAAAATGACTTCACAAATAACCCATAGGTCTGTGGGAGCAGCATCCCCCACATCTCACGGTGTGGCTGTATCCATTGACTCCTTAAGGACGCATCTAGGCTGGGAAGCGGCAAGGCTCCCATCAACTTGGAGGGTTTGCTCAGTGTCTACCCTTAAAGATACGGACATAGATACTGACATATGAGCCTATGTCCACGTCACCGCAGCCGGGGCAGGGGTGGGATGTGTGGCAGGGACCGAAGGGGCCTAGTGGCCCTATCTACAATAGCTATTTCTCTATCGCGGAACCCTACTCCCTTCATAGCGGTGACCACATGCTGTAGGTCTTGGTTGCTTTCAGGCTCCTCCAACAGTCTGCAAGCAGGAACCTCCGAGTGTTGGAACCGTCGGTCCGGCGTCCCTAGTATTCCTGGAGTCCAGAGAACTTGGGGAAATGGAACGGGACTAGCAACTGCCTCTAAGGGCCCGACAGCGCCTCCCGCCCCCCGGTGACCTTAGAGGACCGAGGCGGCTGTGAAGGGCAGGTGGGGCCGCCTTCGCGGAGGGCGACTCCGCAGGGCCGGGTGAGAGGACTACTGAGCGGCAAGCGCCAGCAGACCAGGAAAGGGACGCGCAGGAAGCTCAGAGAGCGCGGCAACAGCTCGGCAGCCGCGGGGCAGCAGCGAGCCACGGCGGGGTGCCTTCGCGCGGCGCTCTGGGAGTTGTAGGCCCTCCCCTTTTCCCTCTCCTTCAGCCCCTTCCTCTTGGACCCAAAGTCTTGCGAGCGCATGGGAGAGGCTGTAAGTCCATGTTGGAACTTCAGAGACTTTCATTCCTAAGAAGTGCCCAGAATAAGACTCTTCCCCGGGGGTCGTCTGTGCCTCCGGCCCCGGGTGAGGACTACATTTCCCAGGAGAGCCCGAGGAGGCGGGCTTCTGGCGCGCGGTGCATTATGGGCATCGCAGTCCCGTGCGTGCTCAATGGCCTGTCACAGGGCTGTCTCTGGAGGCGAACCGGACTACATTTCCCTTCAGTCCGCCGGGTATCCCGAGGCCGCCTTGGCGCGAGACATTTGCGAGCAGAGTGTCTCCAAGATGGCCGCTTGGGGAAGGAGGCGTCTTGGCCCGGGCAGCAGTGGCGGCAGCGCCCGAGAGAGGTGAGATCCAGGGACTTTCTGCCCCACCAGGGCGGGTGACTCAGGAGTTGGGAAGCCTTTGGACTTCCTGGGGCTGCAGCGCTCTCCCTGCCTTAGGCCCCGGGCTCCTCCTATCCGCCCGCCCTCTCCGTCCCCCTGCCGGGCACGCGGGATTCCAGTCCGGGCCGATCCGGGGTCCGGGTGGGAGCCGGCCTCTAGTCTAGTCCGGCCGCAGCGGCCTCTGCCGAGAGCTCAGGGAAGAAGGTGATGGCGGGGCCCGGCAAGTACCCTGCGACCGGGCGGGGTCCTGGTCCGGACTGGGCCACTTGAAGGGGACCCGGGCCCGCAGGCCTGAGGGACTTGATTAGCTGCCGGTGGTCCGAGGGGTGTCCGAAGTTCCAGCCTGCCCGGCCCAGCGCGTGGCGGTCTTGGCCACGGCCGCTTGGCGTGGCGAGGAATGGCTTCTGGGAGGGAGAAGGGACAGCTTGCACAGAGCGGGCCAGCTTCGGGAAGGGGTTTGAGGTTTGCTCGTTTATCGGGGGGAGCTTGAACCCTCCCCAGTGTGTCTGCCAGGCCGAGAGTCGGCCGCTTCTTTGAGAGGCTGGTTTTGCTACTTTTTGAGGATTCGCTGCAAGCTCCCTTACCATGGAAGTCCTTTAAAGTGACCTTTCCTAATGAATGGTTTGTGGATAGAAACTCGCAGCTTTTTTTTTCCAAGGTGAATCTCTATTTGGAGAACTGATTTCTAAGGATGAGTTTGGAGTAGTTTTCGTACTGAGCGTATAGTTTTTGTACAGTTTTGGAAAACAGTTTCACCTAGTAGAAGCTGTTCAGTCCTTATAAGTCTAGAAAAGGCTGTGTGTTGGTGGGATCACCCTTTTCAAACTGTCCTGTCCATTCTGCTACCGCTTGGTTGGTGTAGCAGAGGTCAGCGAGAGAGGAAAGTCTTGTGTTTGCTTTTTTCTTCTTTTGGATGAGTACTGCTAAGCAGAAACAGAAACGTTTTTTCTCTCAACTACTCTGCATTATTCCCTTTCTTTGATTCCACCTCATACTCGAGCTGCTGTTGCCTGCAAATGGTTTTTCTAGCCCAGAAGATTCTTTCTGTTGGGCAGTTGTGATAGGCCCACTTAACCTACTTTTTATTATTGACAGAGTTATCTAACATTGTCCATTTGCATTTTCTCTTCAGAAAAGCATTGAGTAGCAAGCAGATGTTTTGTTTTTCCTACTCCCACCTTATGTTTCTTAAACAGATTAGACTGTAGAAAGAAGTGAGCACTATGGTTTACAAATGGCATTAAAGACTAACAAGCATTTTAAAGATCTCCAGTGCAGGCATAAAGCCTTTGCTAATTGAAGAAAATTGTGAAGTATCAGAGAAAGTCATTCCTCTTGGTTAAACTGAAAGGGCTAAATGCAGATGCCCTAGACAGTAGAAAGGGGACATGCCAGCAAAAGTTAAGCTTTTGCTCATCTAAACACTTACATATTGGGGACTTTTTTTCTCCTTGGTTTGAGACAGATGTTCAAAACTGAGTTTACCAAGCAGTCTTTTATAGACTGAATGCAGTTCTTGGCTCAATTTAGAGAGGAATTTAACTTAATTGCCAACACTGAAAATGGAGATATTTCACATAAAACTATCCTTTAACAACTGAGTAGTGACCAGCTTATTTTGATCAGGGCAGTTGCTCTACCTCACCTAAGAACTTGACTCATTAAAGCCATGGTTTCCTTAGGTTGCAACCTTTGGCCTGGAACTGAAGGCTCTGCTTACAGGTACTGAGGATGTATGTCAGCTGAGAGTGGGGTGTCTGGTTCTGTGATGTGGGTGGCACCAATGATCTTCCATATGATGGGTGGTCTGCCTGTCAGACCACTACCTTAGCTAACCCTGTCAGAGGAATCATTTGCCTGAACTTAGTTTTCCTAAGATCCTCCCACGCTGAGCAGGGAGGGAATGGAAACATAACCAGGGCCAGCCAGCAGCTTCTGGGCACACCTCCATTCCTGCTCAGTTGGTGGGGCGACTGTTTGGGTGGGGCAGGTTGGATTAAACTGTAAGTTATGAGACACAGAGTATTATTGGCTCTAATGACTGAAATAGGCTATTTGTAACTCTCTTAAATGACTGTTCCATGCCATCTTTGTGTTGACCCCAATGTCAGCACCTCCAGTTGTACACTCTGGTTGGAATCTGCTTTGCACTAATTCTGAAGGAAAACATTGCGTTGGGGCCGAGACTAGCATAGAACAAGGTTTGGAGCAAACTTTCCAGATTTGGTAGGGACTACAAACTCCAGAAGCACGCCTCAGATTGACAGGCCCTACCTGCTGCTAGATTGTCCATGGGAATTACTGTTGTCAGCTATGTATTCATGATGGTCCTGCTTAGGACTTCTTTACCTTGTTCTCCAATTTACAGCTGTATTAATTCAGTAGCCACTAGCCAGATAGTGAATTATATTTAAATGAAATAAAATGAAATATTCAGCTCCTATGTCATACTAACCACATTTCAAATGCTCAGTAGCCACATGTGACTCACAGATATAGGACATTTCCACCACTGTAGAAAGTTATACTGACAGCACAGTGCTGGGCTAGACTAAAATAGGAGAATGGTGAAATAGCAAAATGATAGCTGCTTGCATGTTGATTTTTCTCTCCACTCCATTAAATCTAGGGAATCAACAGTGTTTGTAATGAAGAACATCAGACTCTGAGCTGTAACCAGAATTCTTGTCCAAAATTCAGCATACTGGCAGCAAGCACATGAAACAGATTACCACTTGTCCTGTCGGCGTCTTTGAGACACACTTGCCCATCTAGGAAGGCACAGTGCAGGTATCTGTGTGTTTTGCCACTTGGGTGCCAACCCGGACCGGCTCACAGACAGTCCTCCTGTCCCACTTGGGCTGCTGTCTTCACTCTCTTGGGGCCCCTGACCATCTGAGTCTCTGTGATTGTTGGAATGTGAGTATAGCTGTGTGTGCTCGGCTCCTGTTTTACCTGGTGTGAAATGTACCTGATCTGCTTCTGGTCCTGATACCAGGCAGCAACACTGTGTACAGGCCTGGGGCACTCAGGGCCAGTGCACTGGACTAAATGAAATTACATTTTGTGGCTTCCCCATCCCTGGCTTACGCAGCTGTCTGGGAGAGTACATTTAGGCAGCTGGCTTCACGGGGTTACTTCCACATCATTCTGTGCCATGCTTTGTTCTCCAGGATTTGCTCCTCCTCTCAGAAAGCTCTGCTTTAGTGTGTGAATTGGACAGCCGCAGTCCTGGAAGCCAGTGGAGGGTTTAGTTCCCAGTCCAGCTGAACAGATGACCCATAAGCCATGTGGGCAGGTTGGCTCACATCCCTGGGGTGACAGAAACCCACATTTTTAGCTGTCCTTTCCTTTTAGAGCTAGGAACCTTCTTAGAGACTTGGGGTAATTTCTTTCTTTTGAGAGGCACCCAGTCTGACTCGAGTGTGTGGTAGACATTTTTCTCTCTTCCCCACCTGCGTGGGCAACACAAGTGCAGCATGCTCCAGGCACTAAGGCATGTGGGTTCTGCTCAGCAGCTCCTGGAAAATGAAGTCTTTCACTTGGGCCATGTGTCTGATCCCAGAGGTTGCATATTGTAGGTTAGACTCTGCTGGAATTCATCCCCTTTGGCATGGACCTGTCTTAACTTTACAGAATGAATTTCCATCATCCTTATTGACACCTGCAATCTGGATTCCAGCAACAACAGTAACCCCTGCCTCAGTGGGTTTAGCTTCAGGTTGCATCCCTGTGTCCGGGGAAGTGGCAAGGGGGCAAGGGCCACACCAGTGGGTGTGCATGGCTCCTTAGGGCAGTGGGAAAGGTAGTCATCACTCTGGTTGCATACCAACCCCATCCTTCCACCACTGCAGCACTGGGAGAGCTGGACCTTTGTTCTGCTGGACACAAGAGACTCTAGCTCACTAGTCAAGGAGTTGTGCCCTTGAACACAAAGCCAGCGATAACTGAGAGGGAATTTGAATCCAGGCCTCCCAACTCCCACGTTTGGTGCACTGTGTTCTTACTCCAAAGCAGAAGATCTCCTGGGTTAGCAGAGCACAGAGGAGGAACAATGTCTGGTACACAGCTCTCTGACTCAGATGAGGATGTCTGGGCACCCCTGGAAAGTGCCTCTTCTTATCTGGAATTTTGTCAGTATTTGGAGCTACATACCTGTGCCTTTCTGTCCTCAGTGGCCTTTCGGCTGGCAGCATAGACTTCTGCTGCTTAATCTTTTGACTTAATTTGGTTCCGAAGGAACAATTTTTGGTTAGCCAAAAGTGGATTTTCCTAGACCTGAGAGTGGGAGTGGAGACAGGGTCCTCCCTCAGACATTTAGCCACCCGCACTCTTAGTTGCTAGAATTGTTTTTCTCCTCCTGGTTGCACCCACCCTTCTAAAGAGGGCAGGGTTTCTTACAAACCTGTTTACTAATGTCTGTTGGGAACCACATGTGGATACCACAGTGTAGGCAGTCTCTGCCTTCACGGGGCATGGAATCCATTGCCTTTTGTATTTTAGAAGGGAGCACACATTTCAGTCTTGCTGGGGAGCCCACAGCCACTCAGAATGTGAGCTTAAGGCAAGTGCTGTGCCTCTACTGTTAAGATTTGGTTCTTGTGGCTCTGGCCTGACCAGAAAACTGTGGTAACTTGCAGTGCATTTGGGCCTATGTGAATTTGAGTCCACATAGAAAGGACCTGTCCTCCTCACTGTCCTGACTGCAGAGGTGAGAGACCCCTCGACCTCTAGATACTTCAGCATCTGGATTTGCGGTGGCTGTGGGCTTGGCCCCTTGGAGTCTGGGCTCCTCGGGCACCAGGAAGCTGCTAGAGCTGCCCCTGCACCACAGCCTGCCATCATCCCAAGGGATTCAGGCTTATTGAAAGAGGGTTTGTTGTTGTTGTTGTTCTGTTTTTTAATTATTTTTTAATTTTTTAAAAAAGATTTATTTATTTATGCCTACAGAACTGGGATAC